AAAAAAAAAAAGAAAAAGAAAAAAAGCCAGAAGTGGCGCTGTGGCTCAAGTAGTGAAGCGCTAGCCTTGAACTGAAGAGCTGAGGGACAGCGCCCAGGCCCAGAGTTCAGGCCCCACGATCGGATTAAAAAAAATAAAAAATAAAATTTTTTTAAAAAAAACAAAAATCTCTTACTTTAGCCGAGAGCCGGTAGCTCACGCCTATAATCCTAGCTACTCAAGAGGCTGAGATATGAGGATTGCAGTTCAAAGCCAAGCCGAGCAGGAAAGTCTGTGAGACTCTTATCTTCACTAAACCACACTAATACCAGGAGTGGCACTGTGGCTCAAGAGGTATTGAGCTCACCCTGAGCTGAAGAGTGCAGGGACAGCGCCCAAACCCAGAGTTCAAGCCCCATGACCGACCAAAACAAAACAAAAAAAACTCTTACATTCAATTCTTGCTCTGTCCTTCCCTTACGGCAGGGTGGAGATTACAGGAAACAGTAAAAATCTAGGAGTTACAAATTATTTAACTAGATAAAAGTAGAGTTAGGGACCAGCTGCCTTTTCTCATGGTTTACCAAGTTGAGTAACTTGGGCAGGGATAACATTTCCACAATTCCAAATGTGGATCTTTGGCAGAGAGTAATCTGTACATTGTATTATTTCCATGTTGGATTTAAAACCAGGATATCAGTCCCCAACCTGAGATTTCTGTCACCATTCTCTCTGTGTGATCTGTTCTTCCTACATGACCTCTTCTCAGTGAGGGCGTTTGTCCACCTAACCACTCTGTAATGTTTAAGCAAAATCTTCAAGAGCACATTCCCTCTTGGGTCAATTTGACCAAAGCAGGAAGTCAACCAAAATCCTAAAGAGAATTCTGAAGGCATAGACCAATCTCTCCATGTCTCTTGTAACAACTATTCTACTCTCAACTTCTGTCACAAGTTGGTTCTATTTCTGTTAGCTTCCATTTTTGTGTGAGATCGTTCAATGTCTTTCTCTGTCTGGCCTTTCAAGAGATTGCAAATGACAGCCTTCTTCTCATCACAAAGAAATATATGTGTTCCAGGTGTTGGATATGAAGTCACTGCACAATGAAAACATGCAACATAATGTTGTAGATAAAAATACTATATGTATACCTACCTATGCAGTAGAAAGTGACAAGGATCCCTTTTTATCTGAATTTTACACTAAATTTCTATCATAGTTCTACCTCTACTTGTCTCTCTCATCCCTTGATTTCTGTAACCAGCTTCTAACTAGCTTTAGTCCTCATTTTTTCCACATTTCTAAATTTTTATATTAGCCACGCATTATGTTTAACAAAACCATGTCTTATGTTTTGGGGCAACTATCCTCAGGAAGCTGAAGAAAGACAGGCTCTTCACTTAATCCACACTGGTGTTTTATTATAACTCACTCAGCAGAACAACAGAATGGGATAAGAACGAATCACCAGAGGTTAATTCAATATAAAGTAAGCACTGCAGTCATTTTGGGGTTACTCATCCTAAACCAAATGCTTAAGACTCTTGTATTTATTTGCCCACCGAAGAACCCAGAAGTGGAGCTGTAGCTCAAATGGTAGAGCACTAGCATTGAGCAAAAATGCTTCAGGAAAGAGAAATGCGATGCCAAATATAAACCATTCGTTCAATACTAAAAAAAAAAAAAAGAAATGCTTCAGGACAATGCCTAGGCTTTGAGTTCAAAATGGAGGACTTGAATGTTTCTGAATGTTTCACGAACTTCAGGACAAAAGGTGATTAGTCCTGTGCACATTTTTTTTGTTTGGTTGTGGGGCTTGAACTCTGGGCCTGAGCGCTGTCCCTCAGCTCTTCAGCTCAAGGCTAGTGCTATACCACTTGAGCTACAGCACCACTTCCGGTTTTCTGGTGGTTAATTGGAGGTAAGAGTCTCAGGCACTTTCCTGCCCCAGCTGGCTTTGAACAGAGATGCTCAGATCTCAGCTTCCTGAGTAGCTAGGATTACAGGCATGAGCCACCGGCACCCGGCTCCTGTGCAAATTTTGTAATAAAGATCTTCCATCAAAAGCTGAACTGGGAATAATGTATCATTTCTGTTATTTCATATGGATCACATATACAGTGGGAAACTTTAGGGGAGCAATGGAGAAATTGATGCTCTCATGGTCTTGGCTTAAATCACAACAGTCTTTCCCCAGATACTGTTCCCCAAACCACCTTGAGATAATCTGACTCCAATCTCAAAGGGCTGGACCTCTTATTTCTGAGAAGAATTTATAAAATATGTTGAAAAACTATTCCTAATTATAAAAGACACAAGTCAACAACTTTACTATCTTAATTACTTGACAAGCTTGTAAGTAATTAATGCGCATCATTTGTATCCAAATCTTTTGGATAAACTTCAGTTACATCATCCCTATTCAACACAAGGAAAGGATGAGAAATGTTGGTTTAGTGAGTGTAAAAAATGGTTTCCCATTAGAACTCACTTACCTTTGCCATTAAGGATTTTTCTGTATAATTCACAGAGGTTTCCTACAAAGATTTTTCTGCATTGTTTCTTTCCCATGTGAGTCTTCTAAGGCTTGCTGAAGGTTACCTCAGGTTGAAGCTTCCTCTAATGTTTTCATTTACAGAAATTTTGTCATTTCTCCAGGTCTCTGATACCAGTTGGAATATAACTTCTGGCTAAATGTCTTTCTACATTTATTATACTCAGTTTCTATTGTGTCTGTTGTCAGATTCACTGAAGACTTTCATTGCAGCCCTTCCTACTTGGTCTAGTGAATTTAAACTGCTCAGAAGTGTATGGTAGAACAAAAGAAGACGACAACCACGGGAAATTGTGATTGGCTCACTGATAATATCAGGACTAAATTAGAGACTACTACTCAAACTTAAGTTTCCTAAGACGGCTATGAAGATGTTTCACATAAAGGCTTGGGCTGAGTATGTTGTGGAATGGGCTGCAAAGGAGCCTTATGGTTTTCTTACAACAGTTATTTGGGCTCTCACCACACTATTCCCATCCTGGAAATTGGTCAAGATGATTGAAGCCAGAGAGGAGGAGCAAAACAAACAAAAACAAGAAAATATTGCAAAAGCTAAATAACTAAAGGAATGAAGGAGTGAACAAGCTCTGCACCTAGAGGAGAATCATTTGGAACATTATGCAGCTTTGGACTCATTGTTTTAATTTCATCATAGAATTATTTCGTAAATTAAATCTGATTATGTAGAAGATTCATGTTCTAACCTCAATATTCACGTTTAGTTTTGACATAAGTACATTGTATTAATCTGAAAATACAAAATCACAAATATTCCAAAATCTGAAACTTTTGTGTAGACATGATTTACAAATGAAAATTCCACACTTGACCTTGTAAGGGGTTTTATTCAAAACACAGACACCCTAAAAATATTGTATGGAATTGCCTTTAGGCTATGTGAAATGGCAATGAATATGATGTTGAACTAAAACACTTCTGGTCCCAAGCATTTCAGAAAAGGAATACTTACAGTACAGATTCTTTATCAATGACTTAATGATTTGCCATTTTGCAGGTGATATAATGAAGTCAAACATCCTGTGGAGAATGATCAATTTACATATGCACTCCGTTTAAATAATGGCTTAAAATTGGGCCTTCTAGACCAAGGATACTAGGAATGTACAAGTCAAAATTGCTCTCTATGAGGTAAAGTTTGTTTTGGCTTCAAGACATGCAGTGTATTAATCATATTTTTAAAATTTTTGCTAACGGCGTAATTTCTGATTTTTCAAAGCAAAATGATATGAATGGGAACATCTATTTTTCTGCATTTTTCTGTTAGTCTTTGAGACAACTGTTAGTTATGAAGATATTATGCATTTTTTCCAAAAGATTTATTATTTTGACTGTAAAATATCTACTGGATGTAACAGTTTTTGTATTTTTGAACACCACCATTTTCTTAGATGAGGTGTTGAATAACACTTTTTTTTTTTTTCGGTCCGGTCGTGGGGCTTGAACTCTGGGCCAGGGCGCTGTCCCTGAGCTCTTCAGCTCAAGGCTAGCGCTCTACCACTTGAGCCACAGCGCCACTTCCGGCTTTTTTCTTTTTGCTTATGTGTTGCTGAGGAATCGAACCCAGGACCTCATGCATGCAAGGCAAGCGCTCTACCACTGAGCCACCTTCCCAGCCCCCAATAACACTTTTTTAAAGCTTGTACCAAAAATGCCAAATACTACAATTTTAGTGTTCGTTTTTGTGTTTTTTTTTTAATGCTAACTAGAGCTGTGGAAAAGCTAAAATGTCATAAGATAATCTGCTAACTTATGTATAGCACTAGGTTTTATTAAGTTTTTGACTCATGTACTGATATCACAAGTTTCAACATGTTTGTGGTCAACAAGTTGGTGCAAACTAAAAATTCTGGTTATTTTGATGAGTTCCCAAGGAGTTAAGTCATACTTATTAAGCAATAATACTAGAATTTTTGTCTATTAAACATGGCTTTTCTAAATGCATACCCAAGTCATTTTAGTCACTGCAGTATTTGATAGCTTATATTATTTTCTGACCTCTGATAAAAAGTAATTATCCAAAGCTCTTACTGAAAAATTGAAACTAGTTTGAAATAAAATTTAATATGTTTAATAAAGAAAAAAATAGGAAGTGGTGCTGTGGTTCAAGTGGTCCAGTACTAGCCTTGAGCAGAAGAGCTAAGGGACAGCTCCTAGCTAGGCCCAGAGGTCAAGCCCCACAATTGACAAAAATAAATAAATAAGGCCTCTTAGGGGCTTGGGATGCGGCCTAGTGGTAGAGTGCCTACCTAGCATGCATGAAGCCCTGGGTTTGATTTCCTCAGTACCACATAAACAGAAAAAGTCAGCAGTGGTGCTGTGGCTCAAGTGGTAGAGTGCTAGCCTTGAGCAAATTAAGCCCAGGGACAGTGCCCAGGCCCTGAGTTCCAGCCACAGGACTGGCAAAAAAAAAAAAAAAAGAAGAAAAAGTCATTGCACATTTGTCATATTTATTGATTTTTTACTCCTATGTGAGCCAGTTCTTTGATGAAAATTGAGGTATGACTTCCAGGTAAAATAATTTCCACATTTGTTACATTTATATGACATCTCTCTTGTGTGTTTTCTGATGCAAACTGAGATATGACTTCTTGAAAATCTTTCCACATTTTTTTCATGCATGAAATTTCTGTCCTGTGAGTATTCAATGGTGTTCCTCAAGCTATGCTTTCTGTGTGAAAGACTGCACATATGCAACATTCATAAGTCTTTAATCTGTGTGGAGTTTTCTTCTAGATGAAAGTCTTCCCAAATTCATTACACTCCTAAGGTTTCTCATGTGTATGGATTCTCTTATGTGTACTGAGGTGTGAACTCTGGCTGAAGCACTTTCCACATTTTTTACATTCATAAGGTCTCTCACCTGTGTGAATTGTTATGCCTGCCGAGTTGTGACCTACAAATAAAAGTCTTTCCACATTTGTTGCATTCATAAGGTTTCTCTCCTGTGTGTGTTCTCTGGTGAAAAGTGAGGTCTGACTTCTGTGTGAAAGACTTTCCACATTTCTTACATTCATAAGGTTTCTCACCTGTTTGAATTCTTCTATGTGTATTGAGATGTGACTTATGATATTCATAAGGTTTCTTTTCCTGTGTGTGTTCTCTGGTGGACATTAAGGTTTGTCTTCTGGGTGAAAGACTTTCCACATTCATTACATTCTTAAGGTTTCTCACTTGTGTGAAGTCTGTTATGCCTATGGAGGTGTGATGCCCACTTGAAGGTCTTTCCACATCTGTTACTTTCATAAAGTTTCACTTCTGTGTGAGTTCTCTTTTGCCTGCTGAGAGCCGACTTCTGGGTGGAAAAGGTGCTACATTCCTCATATTCATAGGATTTCTCTTCTGGAGGTGTTTTCAGTTTGCAACTCAGGTCTGACTTCTCAGAGATAGATTTTACATAATGGATATTCTTATTGGACTTAGCCTCTGGATATTTGCTCTCAGGGTTTGTGAGGTGTATTTTTTTATTCAAAGATTTCTCATATTTACTACTTGTACAAGGATTCTCTGCCTTGTATATTTTCTGATATGTAGCAACTGTAGGTCTTAAGTAGTATGCTTTTCCACATGCAGTCCATTCAGGTGTTTTCCTCCCACCATGAAGTATTTCTGGAGAAAGGAAAGCAGTTATATCAGTCTTCTCTATATTCAAATGGTTATAGGAGGGCTGTCCCACAAAAACCCAATTGTGTATGAAAAATATGGTCTCCAAGTTTAATCCCTTCCTTCTCTACCATTTTCCAAATATTGCAGCCTATTTGGACTCTCAACATTTTGACTAAAATGCTCAGAAAAGGGGCTGGGATATAGCTCAGTGGTAAAGCACTAGCCTAGCAAGTGTAACGTCCTGGGTTCAATCACCAGTACCAAGAAAGGAAAGACACACACACACACACACACACACACACACACAAATACAGTTAAATGCTCAGAAAATCTGAAGGATTCTTCAATTACAGGAGACATACCAAGCCTATATGCAGCATGCATCTTATCAGGCTCACTATAGAGAAGCATGTTCTGGCACACAATAAACTCCTGAATCCTCATCTCTAAGGAGTTCCCATTAATTCTAATCAGCTGTGGCTTATGTTTTGAGCTCATATTAGCAGTTGTTACTAATCTCACATTTTCCTCCACTGTTACTATTTGTGACTGCTACTTCACACAGACATTCATCTGGACTTACCTGGCAGGTCTTAATCATATCCTCCATTTCTTGGACACTTAAAGTGAATCAGAGAGAAAAAGACAAAAATATAAATGAAATCCAAAGACTTCTTTTATTTGGGGGGGGGGTCCAGTTGTGGGGCCTGAACTCTGGGCCTGGGCGCTGTCCCTCAGCTCTTCAGCTCAAGACTAACGCTCTACCATTTGAGCCACAGCACCACTTCCGGCTTTTTGCTTATGTGGTGCTGAGGAATCGAACCCAGGGCCTCATGCATGCAAGGCAAGCACTCTACCACTGAGCCACCTTCCCAGCCCTCCAAAGAATTCTTAATGTAAACGTAAAGACATTTTCTCCAATTCTATTTTTTTTTTTGGGTCCGGTCATGGGGCCTGAACTCTGGGCCTGGGCACTGTCCCTCAGCTCTTCAGCTCAAGGCTAGCGCTCTCCACTTGAGCCACAGCGCCACTTCCGGCTTTTTTTCTTTTTGCTTATGTGGTGCTGAGGAATTGAACCCAAGGCCTCAGGCATGCAAGGCAAGCACTTTAACCACTGAGCCACCTTCTCAGCCAATTTTCTCCAATTCTAAATGTTAAGAGATTAGAGACACATGCTTTTTTCCCAATATATTAAGAAGCAATACTGATATTTTACAATAGAAAATGTTTTTCTGTTTTAGACTTTTCTTTTTTTACGTGAGAAGAAATACTCAAACTCTCAACTGTGAGAGTTTTATACTGAGAACTAATTATCTGCCTTTAGTAGACTTTAAGTTGTTTTTCTCAAATATTATATTGTTTGGTCATAATACCTACTTGGTTTTCTTTTATTTTCTAGAAATAATTTATATATTGTGCTGTTTTGCATCTCAACAATTAGGTGAAGTACAGAAATATTTTCTATTTTTGGAGACCATAGAAGTGTTTGTTGTTGTTGTTGTTGTTTTGTTTTTGAGTCCAGTCGTGGGGCCTGAACTCTGGGCCTGGGCGCTGTCCCTCAGCTCTTCAGCTCAAGGCTAGTGTGCTACCACTTGAGCCATAGCACCACTTCTGGCTTTTTTTCTGCTTATGTGGTGCTGAGGAATCGAACCCAGGGCCTCGTGCATGCAAAGCAAGTGCTCTACCACTGAGCCACCTCCCAGCCCAATAAGTGTTTTATACATCCCTTTGCCTTTTATCTAAGCAGGAATGGTTCTTGAGAGTACGGTTTTATAGCTACATCTGTGCAGTTCTAACTTTTCACTAAGAATTACTTAAGGTATTTGAGGGAATTTTTAAAATTTGTTTCTCTCCCTCTTACAAAAAGTCTCATCCAAATTTCTTTTCTGACACTCCTACTGCTCAGAACCATGGAAGACCAATGATACTCCAGTTT